GGGGGTCGGGCCGTTCCCTGCACACCTCGTGCGCCGCGCGGGAACGGTCGGGCCCGTGCGCCGGACGTTGGGAAACTCGCGCACGCCGGAAGTATGGCTCGTACTCATTGACTTGCCGTGAGGGCACGGGTGCACAGCCCGTAGTTTGTCTGTTGATGTGGTTTGTCATGTTCACTATACACGATTCCAAGATTGTGTGTGAGTGAGAGAGAGAGAGAGTAAGAGTGTGTGTGTGTGTGTGTGTGTGTGTGTGAGAGAGAGAGAGAGAGAGAGAGAGAGAGAGAGAGAGAGAGAGAGAGCATGTACAAGGCTCCATAAATCCATGTATGAGCTGTCTACTATGACAGCATGTACAAGGCTCTCCTGTTCCCATATTTCGTCACCTTTGGTTGCGTTATAGGCTTGTACTCGTTGGCTTTCCGTGAGGGCACGGGTGTGCAGCCCGTAGTTTGTCTGTTGATGTTGTTTGTCATGCTCACTGTACACAATTCCAAGATTGTGTGTGTGTGTGAGAGAGAGAGAGAGTAAGAGTGTGTGTGTGTGAGAGAGTGTGTGTGTGTGTGTGAGAGAGAGAGACAGAGAGAGAGAGTGTGTGTGTGTGTGTGTGTGTGTGTGAGAGAGAGAGAGAGAGAGAGAGAGAGAGAGAGAGAGAGCTCTGCAGCACGCAGCGTGTCAGTGACCGGGAGCACTAAGGGCAGGCGCTAACCTCTGGGAAAAAAAGGGGGAATGTTTCATGGTTACCATCCAGACTTCCGGATCCCATTCTGGACCGTCGGCGTCTCGATGTCCGATGTCCGGGCGAGAGAGGCCCTCAGAATTACTTTTGTCAGTGATGAGGGTGTATGACATGGAACTGGCATGCTGGCAGAAGGTTGTTGTAATGCGTTGTGAATAACAGGGCCCCGGAGAATGTTCGAGAAGCATAATAGCGGGCAATGAGATCTTTCGTGCGTATGAATAACGGGGGCCCTGTAAATAGGGGGGGTAGTACGAAGGATGGGGGTCCTGTGATGGTCCTGTGACGTTCCGAATAATGCGAGATTGAGGTGTGTGGGATGGGTGGCGACATGTTGGTGCATGAGTCCAATACTTGGGGTGTGTTTAGAGGAGGAGGCTGTTAGATCTAACAGCCTCCTCCTCTAAACACACCGCCAGCTAACTGAGTGGCTATATAGGGTGCGGCTTGGAAGAAGTCTCTTTTAAGGCCGGGGGATTTGGAAAATTGGAACTGGTAGGGAACACTCTAGTCTTTTTGGTACATGCATTGGCTTTCCCATGTTGGAGACGGGTTCTATGTTACCTATCAGTAGACACGGTACTGTTGTCCGAGTCTAGGCTCTAGGATGTCCGGTCACAAAGGCTAGTATATATGAGACAATAGGTCATCAGGGTCTTCGAGCCAGCAAAGACTCCTGAAGAGGACCGGTGTGCGACCAGCCAAAACGGACCGTCGAGTCACTTTCGCTGCCTGCGTCGGCAGTGTCGAGGGTTTTCTCGATTGTATCCCTCGTTTTGTGCTCGGGATAATCACGAAGATTTTTTGACTCGAGTGTGGCCTATTATCTCTGGCTGTCTTCTTCCTGTCTCTTTTTTCTTCTTTCGGGCCTGGGGCAAGGCCGGTTTCCGAACTCGCGCGGCTAGGTGAATGGGGGGGGGGGGGGGGGCTAAGAAATTACGAAATCCCTACTTCTGTTTTTTTCTTTCCTGACCTTGATTTTTCTAATGCGGTGCGCCTTGGTGCGGTGCGCCTTGGTGCGCTGAGCGGTGCGGTGCGTGGTGCGCAACGCGTGCGCAAATCCGCCCACCCAGGTGCACCGCAACTATGGTTGTATCTGATCAGCATCAAGCAGAATAAATTTAATAAAATAAAATTGTAACGACACGGGGATTAGCATGGTCCCTGTGCAAAGATGACACGCGTAAATCGAGAACTGGTGCAAACTTTTATGGGTGCAAGGAAAATGAGCAATAGCGAGATGACAATATACAGAATGCACAATGCAAACTTTTATGGGTGCAAGGAAAATGAGCAATATCGAGGTGCCAATATCCAGAATGCACAATCACATTGAAGGCCAGATAGTATCACAGTGTCCAGAAAGCAGAATTGCACCAATATAACACCAATGAAGAATCGTAACACTGAAAACCAATGTCAATGAGAGCTTGCTCTGGCCGCCACCAACATGAGTGTCCAGGCCCTTCTCCCTACTTGGCGCTTGACGCCCAGCCTACTTCCTACACAGCTACAGTCTGCCTACTAATTGACAATGCAACTGTTGATGTCAGCAGCCCACGAAGTACTTGAAGATGTCGCCCAATGCAGACCATCGCCAATACCAGGTATGTGCTCTCACATCATCATCATCATCATCCTTCTCTCTCTCCCCTGACATACTCCCACGTCTTCCTCCTTTACACCCGAAGGCCACCTCTGCGCCTCACTGTAGTCCAAGCCTCACCCAGTTATGGAGGCTGGGCTATGGCGCTGCCCTCAGCAGCGCCCTGCTTCCTGCACGGCCGCACGCATGCAGCACCTTGCCCTTAGCGCTCAGAAGCCCGCAAGCAATCACTCCAGCAGTGCTGCCGCAGCATCTGGCAAGTGCCTGGATGAGAGCCCAGGCAGCGAGCTCTTTCCTATATGGAAAGAGCCTGCCTGCCCCAGCGGCCTGGCTGGCCTGGGCCTCTGCCCAGAAGCTTCCGGTAGGCCCCAGGAGGCTGTGTCTCTGTTGCAGCGGCTGGACCTCGTTCGGTTGGGCCTCCCAACTGTCTATGTTTGAGGCTGCGATTCTTGCCCAGGGCCTGCATTTCAGGAAAGGCCTGGAAGGCCGTGGAATGTCTTTGCTGCTCGGCCTGTGTTTCCCTCAACCAACTGGCGGGTTACAACTGCCTGGACCCCAGATACGAAATTGACAGCAGAGGGCCTCTCAAGATTTGTTAGGCCCGCCTTCACTTAGGGCGGGCACTTCTGTACCAGGGGCCCTTAGGCCTGCCGGGGACCCAGATCCTCACATGGAAAAACAAAAAGAACAAAATAAAAAGAACGATCAATTCATCATCTGATGGTTTTCTTTGCTACTCTGGTGGTTGTGTGAACGTTTCTGTTGCCGGTGATGACTGCAGGCCGCTGTGGGAATGGTGATGTCCATGCTTTTGCTGGCAGACGTCGGCCTTAGCTTCCTGACTGTGCTGGAGTTATACAGCATGTCCTTTGTGGCATTCGTTCTTGTCCTCCTCATCCTTCCCCTCACTCCACTTTTCTCTGTTGCGGCCGGCCTCAATGCACTTTTCAGCCATGGGCCTCGGAAAGCTGCTGCCTTGGGACGGGTATATGGTCTCTGGAACGCCACCTCTGTTGCCAATGTGGTAAGCGACTGTGAGCCCTTTGCCACATTTTCTTGTGAATGCATCGTACAGCAATCAATTGATGTGTTATCAATGCGGACAACATTTGCAGCCCTAATCCTAAATCCGTAACCCTAAACCCTGCATATCTGTCGTGTTTGCGGAAATGTATCGATGTAAGAGAAACAAGGTGAGAAAGCGGTCGAAGAATGATGCATAACAAGTTAACCAGTCTGAATGGGGTGAGGATAGAATCCAGCCCATGTCGCTGAATGGTTCAATGCGGACAACATTTGCTGTCCTAATCGTAAATCCTTAACCCTAAACCCTAGACCATGTTTACGATCCGGTTATCCTGAGCCCAGTCCGGACTGTCCGCGTCTGGTGTCCGGGCGGATGTCCAGTCCTGTAGGTCCGTTTTTTTTCTTTGTATTTTTTTTTTTGGGTTGTTCGAGGCCCACCCCGAATTTTGTTTTTTGGGATTTTTGAACTATTTTCTGGCGCATTCAGAAATCCAAAGAGGGGCGGGCACAGAGAGAGAGAGAGAGAGAGAGAGAGAGAGAGAGAGAGAGAGAGAGAGAGAGGTGCACAGGCTGGATACTGCCTTGAGGCAGGTATGGCCTAGTCCACCCCCTGTCTGTAAACCTTCCGTAACCTCTCGCTCTCTCCCTCTTTTCTTTTCTTTTCTGGTCCGGAATTTTCCGGACGTCCTGCTGTGTCCGGGTATGGGTCCGGCGTAACCATGCCCTAGACTTTAAAGTCTAAACCCTGGATACCTGTCGTCCATGTGGAAATGAATCAAAGGAAGAGAAACAAGGTGAGAAAGTGTTTGAAGAATAATGCATAACAAGTTAACCAGTCTGAATTGAGTGACGATGAAACCTAGCGCATGTTGCTGAATGGTAACGTCAATACGAAATTATTATTGACAAATAGATGAGGAGTTTGAATAGTGATGCGAATCAGATACAACATATAATGTTATGTCTGTCTACCCTGCTTCAATAATACAATGAACATGTAAAAAGATCTACGTTATTAGAAAGAAGGTACTGTGTCACCAAAAGGTCCAAAACTGGTTCATTGTCGAACAGATGATACGATCCTTCTCCATTCGTAATGCTAGACTGTAATGTTGATAACAAGCAAGAATCGATGATCAGGGGGATCCCCCTTTCTTCCAGCAGTCGAAGCGAAGCGATATCCTGTCCGCCTTCGCTATCCTCTTTTGTGGTAGGCAACTAGCTATGGTAGTTCATCCATTGCTTGCATGACTTCCCCTTTCTTTTTAAAGATTAAATAGAGTGTATTAATGGTGGGCTATTGACTTGTCTTCTTGTTTGGTTTATGATTCTCCTCCCCGTTTTGTTCGCAGATGCTTGCCTTGCTGTATGGCTTCTTCCAGCACAATGACTGGAAAGGGTGGGGACTGCACCGCGGTCTTCTGGTAGCGACTGGGATAGGGTAAGGACATCCCGAAGCCTCGATTGGATGGTGTCTCTCTCTCTTGATACCGTTCTCTTCAGCTCAATGATCGACTTTGCGTTTGCGCTTCCGGTTGTGATGTCTTGTCCTTTTCGTTATTGCCACCTTCGTGTCTCCCTTATCTAATGATTATCACAATGCTGGTGTTTCCAGCATCATTCTTCTGTCGTGTCGTGTTTCTCAGTGGCTGCTGTGAATACCTAGATTAAACACAGTCTTTCCGCCTGGGTACTTGGGGCCTGCGTGGGACCGACACGGGACCTGCCCCGGATGCTCGGGCCGGGCCGGCTCCCGGACCATATCCCACAAAGTAGAGAAAAGATCATCCAGAATTTGTGAAAAAAAAAACGGCAGGTTTTGCAGAAGTGCAAGTCAAACATCTTTCAGGCTTTCAGCGGAGGGCCACTTAAGAATGGCACAACTCAGAAACAGGAGGGAGATCCCAGAACACACCCGAAGCGGATAAGAGGATGAGCTGAAGTGATAAAATTACAATTCAGGCCACTCGAGCGGTCAAAGACAAGGCAAACCCGTAGCCTCAGAAAAAAATATTTCAAGGCGAGGGTTTAGGGTTTAGGGTTTTGTAGGTGCTTTGATAATGAGAGATAAGGAGGAATATGGGGAGACGGGACATATGGGTAAGGGTCAAGTCTCGAAGCTCAAGGATTATCCAGAGTTGGACGGTAAGCTCTTTCTTGCGGGCATGGGTTTATCTGGCAGATCTAGGGGGCATATGTGAGAGGAAAGAGCGAAACACGGCAAGCTGGCAGTCAATCCTCCAGAAGTCTGGAGTAATCAATGCTGCTCAGGGGTCCTCCGGCCAGACGGGAGGAAGCGTGTGGTTTCTATGATGTAATGTTTATTCTGACTTGCCGGTGGAATAGGAACCAGACTGCTGCTTAAAAAAAAAAAAAAAAAAAAAAAAAAGAAGGAACCAGCCTGCCCCCCCCCAGAATGGAAAGAAGCCGGGACCACAAGGCCCTGTTTTCTTGTTAAAAAAAAAAAAAAAAAAAAAACTATAGGACACCCCTCTAAGGCCCCCTTGTAAGGCCCTTCAATCCTTCCCCCCCCTCACCTCCTCCACAATCGAAGTGAACCAGAAAAATATATAAGACTGGTTTTGCTTATGGGAAAATCAATTTATATATGTTTTGAAAACTAGTACACCTGGCATGAAGTGCTATTGCTTTTCGAACAAGCGATGGTTATCTGATTTGTTTTTTGCGACCCGCCGGGTTGAGGGCCCGTGTCGCGCTGATCAGGCTGCTCGGCGGGGCACTGGGACAAAAAATGGCATGTTTTATATTTTTTTTTATTTTGCAAGTAATGTTTCAGATGTTATTTATGTTGGAACGATACAGAGAAGATTAGCATGACCCTTGCGCAAGGATGACACACAAAAATCGAGAAATGGTCCTTTTTAAACTAGCTTTCCCAGGGCGCCTCGCCCAGGTAGGGACGCTGCCCGGAGTACCCCGGGCATGCAAAAAAAATGAAAAAATCCACATAAATTTGTTTTTTTGTTTTTTGACTGCCGGGCTTTGCTGCGCTTTCCCAGTACCACCCAAATGCGCCCTCATTTTTTTTTCGTGCATATCGCCGATATCGGTTTCTGTGCGTTGGGGGTAGGGGTAGGGGTGGGGGAGCAGAGGAGAGGGAGGAGGGAGCTGATGTGAAGGGAGGGGGGACTATAGCTGCCGGGAGGAGGGAGGACTATGGTGCGAGAGAGGAGGGAGGACTATGGCGAGAGGTAGGAGGAGGGAGGGGTGCCATGTCGAACGAAGGGGGGGGGGGGGGGGGGGGAGCAGAGGAGATATGGCGGAGGAGGAGGGAGGCAATCTGGCGGGAGGGAGGAGGGAGCTGATGTGAAGGGAGGGAGGACTATAGCTGGCGGGAGGAGGGAGGGCCATGGTGCGAGAGAGGAGGGAGGACTA